ATGAGATAACATAAAAGCTTTTTTGTTTTATTCGTTTTTTTTCCTTCAAAGATCACAAAAATGTAATTATTTGTCTTGCCTTTCACAACATTAATTTTTATATTAGCGGCGATTTCTTCACATTATTATATTTATAAGTACACGTGCTTCAAATAATGTCATGAAGTTTCTTGAAAACTAAACTGTTTTCTGTGAAAACTAGCTCGAACTTTCAGAAACGCTGCAATGCCATTAGCTCAAAAACTGCTTCAAATTTTGTCTTCAAACTTTTCGAAGGGATAGTGCCAACTTCACTGTTTAATATGACATCAAGCTCATTTTGAGGCAGTTTTTTGTTTTTTCTAAAATTATACAAATGTAATGCTTTGAAAGATCTCTCATTTCCACCGATTTGCAAACACTATTGTAGTTGTGAGTTAATGTGCGTTAAATTAATTCTAATAAAGTTTTTCGAAAACTCCAAAACTTTCAGTGAAAAACAGCTTCAAATTTCGAATTTATAGTAGCGCTTAAACGCCATCTTCATAAAAATGGCTCCAATTTTTTCGAAGAATATTGCTGTTTAGGACAAGGTTTTCTAAATAATATTTCCATTATACTATTAGGAAACTAAAATATTGAGAAAATTTAAAATAAAATGTACTTCGGGCGGCAATAGATGGCAGCTGGTAAAAGTATGTGGCGAGTCTGAATAACTTGCCGAGACCAAAGGAAATAGAAAACTAATATGGGAAAGTCTGTGCCATTTCTAGCACCACTAGTTTATTTTGCATAATTGCAAATTTCTGGTAATTTTTTCATTAACTGCTTATTTGTATTAATGCGACATATTTAAGAGCATATATTACAGGTTTTTGCGTAATAGTGGTTTGAAGCGAAACATTTTTGTTGCACTTTTTTATTTATTATAATGTTTGAAAATATATTTTTATTATACGCGTTTTGTACTACAATGTAAAATAAAGATTTATAGAAATAAATATTATCTGTTGATCACTATATTTTTGTTTATTCCGAGTTTTAAGAGCCTGTATTTTAAGTGCTATTTTAAGTGCGTGATTGCATGCGTAATTTTAACTTCTTTGGAACGCATGATGTTCCGGGGTCTGCTCATTATAAAGAGTAGAGCATTTGGAGCGAAAACTAAATATTTTCAAGCAAATATCCACACTATTTTGACAATTATAACTCCTTTTCGTAGAGCTAAATCATGTCAGAACAATGAGACGTAATAAACAGGAATTAGCGAGTGCGACGCGGAATTTCACTGTTGCATTCCTTGCATTGTTGATATTCCCTGAAAGCTATCAATTTTTATTTCATGTATTTAAAACAGGCGTTAAATAATTTCTAAAAGCTGAATGTGTAAATGTATAACAAAAGGTCGAATGTAGTGACGACACGATACGGTCAAAGCCATATTAACTTACATACAAATTCTGACTTACTAAGCATCCAGCTGTGTGGAATCTTTCGCTAAATGCAGTAAAATCTAAACAGACGTTTAATTTTGTCGCCAATTTATCCAAAAACACTCATGTTTTAAAAAAATTGATCGTGACCTTATTTGAAGATCAATTTTTGATGAACACATGTCATTAAGAAAAAAATGTAATTTTAATAATTCGCCGAAAACGATGCGCAGTCAATTCGAGCGCGCTGCTATACTAGTCCCTAAATTACACAAAAATACTTATATTTTCAAAAAATACAGCATGGCCTTATTTAAAGATCTTCTTTTTATGAAAACATTCCATTAAGAAAGAAACTATCTTCACAATTGTAGTTGAAGGAATACGCCGAAATGTTTTAAATTTTCGCATATTAACACATTTCAATTAACATTTGACCTTCATCCTTATTTTAATCTTCCTTTATGCTATCTAAGTTCCCAATTTAATTAAAAATCGTGCGTTTTTTAAGAAAAAGTGGTTTAAAGAAAATAAAAATTGCCTGTTTGACACAAAATTTTGCTAAAAGTACTAATGTTTTTGAAAAATTGGACATGATCTTATTTAAAGATCTGTTATTAGTGAACACATATCACTGAGAAAAACTGAATCTTTATAATTGTAGTTATAGAAAGATGCCGAAAAAGTTTGGATTTTTTTCAATTTTCGAAAAATTAGGGTTTTTAACCAACATGAGACCTGTATCATTCTCTTAAACGTCCTTCAGATTCTCCTCCAACAAAATTTAATCAAAATCACAGCGGCCCCCTCGGAAGCCAAATTTGGAAATAGGAGGAGAAGGATGTTTTCAAACATTTTACCGAGGATTGGAAGAAGTCTAATAGGGCGGTAGTTGGAGGGGAGGCAATGGACCTGCCAGTTTTAGGCATAATAACGCGGGCGATCTTCCAGGCGGTAGGAAAACATGACAATTTGAGGCAGGAGTTTGGGATAAGGGTAATTAGGTCAATTACGTTTGTGGTTAGGTTCTTTAGTTGGAATGTGGATACTCCATCGGGTCCAGGAGTCGTAGTGGAATCAATCGTTCGTAGTATTTGTCTTAGTTCTACGTCGTTTGTCGTCCAGGTTTGTTGTTGGTTGGGGAATTGAAAGAGGTTTGAAGTAATTGATGACCACGTCGGGTATTGGAATATTGGGAGGTAGGAAGCGTAAGGCAAGGGATTAGGTGAGGGTGTTGGTAATCAGTTGGGGATCGAAGGTTGGGGTGTTGTTAATCAGGATGCGGGATATTGCACTGTATTAATTACTTTGTGTGTATTGTTGGGACTGCGGTTGTCCATCAGTAAGTCGTCATATTTATGTATCTCGTGTCGTTGGAGTAAAGTGTGTATTCGTCTTTAGATTTGCTTTAATGATTTCTTGTCTTCGTCTCCTCTGTATTTCCAATACTGTCGTTGTAGTCGTCTTTTTGTCTGATCATTATTAGTATTTCGTCAGGAAGTGTGGGATGTGGGTTTTTGGAGAAGGTGGTGCTTTTTCTGTACGATTGTTTGATCTGGTGGGTGAGGTGGGCTGTTTATGAGGTCATGACTTGTTTATATCATGTTGTTATATGTTTATATTAATATCTGCGGAAATGTGGATTTTCATGGTTAACCGGTGTTTGTAAGATTTCAAGTCTTTGGAGAGGATGGTGGGGGTCATTCTTCGTGCAGAATTAACTTTTTTCCTGTGGTTTGCCAGATTCAGTGGCGTGCATTCTATGGAATGAAGGTAATGAGTCATTCCTTTAAGTAAAGCAGAGAAAAAAGTCCTTTCTGTATTTATAATATTCGTTGCTTATGGCCAGAGCAAAACTGTTTACTCATCTCAAATTCTGAGCTTAGTACCAATAGTTGAACTGTAACAATCGATGTTTTCAAAAAGGTCTGTAGATTCGTCTCGTGACGTCAGCGAAGCTTCGTTCATGGAGGGGCAGCTGTTCGACTGCATATTTGCGTAGTAAGTCTGGTCAGACCCTGAGTGCGCAAGGACGAATTTTTCAATACGTTCTGTTGTTATTGGCTGGTAGCTATTTTAAGTTCGAAATAATTTATTATTTTAGCTTTTTGAAAGTGTTTGATATACGTGCTAACTACAGCATAATACAATGTAAGTATAAAGTACATTATAATATTGAGAACGTTTATGTTCAGTTAAAGAAAGTGCTCTAAAAACTAAGAGCACTAAGTTATAGAGCGATGCATAAGTGATATATTGTGAAGTGAGATGTTGCGCAGTGTAGAGCAGAGAAATAATGAAGGAAGTGATTGAAGGGTCGTAGTGAAGTGAAGTGAAGTGCTGTGCTGTTCTGTGCAGTGCTGTGCAGTGTTGTGCAGTGCTGTGCAGTGCAGTGCTGTGCAGTGCTGTGCAGTGCAGTGCATGCTGTGCAGTGCAGTGCAGTGCTGTGCAGGGCTGTGCAGTGCTGTGCAGTGCTGTGCAGGGCTGTGCAGTGCTGTGCAGTGCTGTGCTGTGCAGTGCTATGCAGTGCAGTGCAGTGCTGTGCAGTGCAGTGCAGTGCATGCTGTGCAGGGCTGTGCAGGGCTGTGCAGTGCTGTGCAGTACTGTGCAGTGCTGTGCAGTGCGGTGCAGTGCGGGGCCGTGCGGTGCTGTGCAGTGCTGCGTCCCCCAACAATATGCATGGGGAGCTTAGGGAAGGCGACTTGCAGCCAGGCACCAAAGCAGTCTAGTACTCCCATGAACAATTCCAGACAGTACTGCGTTTTGAGAGGAATGGGATCATATTATAGCTGTCCTCATCTACGTCCCTCTTACACAAGCAGGGGTGCATCCAGCCCATCGTTTTGGAGGGGGGCAGTAATAGTTTTTTTCAAATTAATAAACATATTTGTTATATTGCACATTATTTTTGTAGTGTACATATGTTACTATATAATATTTTTTTAAATAATTACATAATTACAACAGAAATATTCAAATCAATATTGCCAAATAAAGGAAGGTAACAAACGAATACTCTAGGTCTTTTGTGAGGGGCCATGGCTCTCTTGACCCCTTCCTTCATCTGCCACTGCTTTACAAGCACACTGCCGTGAGACCTGTGTGTCGTCTCAATATGGTGGAATGAAACCCCATTTTGGTAGCCATCATTCATGTCAGACTCCAGTTTTTGTATATTCATGTAATCCCTCTTGAGTTTCTGATTAAGCTACGTGTAGTTACGTGCCCTTGTTTTGAATTTCCGTTTCTCTTTCTTTGGGATTCTCCATTCATTCATATATTATGAGTATGCTTCTGTTGTCTGGTACAAATTCAGGCCTGCGTTTATAGCACGAACTATAATTATCCTATACTAGTGGACAGTGGGTTATTTTGGACATCCCGATTAATTGAAAATAAATGATTGATACATGAATAGCGAATTGTATCGATACTGGATTTAAAATGTAGGCAGAAGTTGTGTGGTGACAAGGATTTCAGTTAGACTTTTTAATATAATTTTATACAAATAATAATTACACATATTTTTACTTTCTCTTATTGTAGTAGAGATAAAAGTATGTAATATTACAAAAATGAACTTTTCTTTCAATGATCGTTTCTTAACATAATATTAAGCAACTGTTTCTAGTTATTTTTTCACATTTTTATTCCTATGTGTTCTCATTTTAAATAGAGGGAGGAACGTTGTACTTTAACGCAAAAATGTAAAGGAATTGTTAATAAGCAAGGGAAAGAACAGGTACCGGCTTTTTTCACACCTGAATCGGCTCTTTCAGAAAAATGTCTTGTGGTGCCATCGCGATGCATTTGCGATGAGCCATTAGTGTAGTAGTGTAGTAGAAGCTCTCGTCGGGCGGTGAGTTCAATGCGAATCTTCCGCAAGCTGGTGCCGGCTGCGAAAGTGCACTCTGTAGGTGCGCTCCCCCTCGCTCACCCAGATGGAGCCCGAGGTCCCCTCTCGCAGCACGCGCAGCGCGCTGCGCGCCACCACTGCCGGCCTGCAACACGCCGCGAGGGAGCCAGAGCATTCGGGTACCCGGCGCGGCAACGACTTTGGTCGTCAGTCTCGCGAGGAAAGGGCTTGTTCTGTCCGCGCGAGTGGCGGTGCTCCTGCTCAGCTGGAACTTGCGATCTGCCACCTACGGGTATCTCCCTCCAGTGGGACACGACGTATGGAAGGGGCGGGGAGAGGATAGGGAAAGGGAGATCGCGCGCTGTCCCTGACTTATTTGCTGGGGTTCTGCGCTTGGAATTGATCTGAGAACCCACGGAAAACTACTGATCAGAGCAGCCGGCCACTAGAATTCTCTTTCAGACAGCGGCTGAACTTAGCTATTGTCCACCACCCACGGGACACAAACCCTACGACCTCTCTGTCAGTGTTAATAATAATAATAATAATTAATATTAATAATAAAATAATAATAATATAATAACAACGATATCGTTCGTGGGCTACAATAGTGGCACAACTCATGGTGTTGAGTGTATTTCTGTAATTAGGTGTTGAGGTACAAAAATTAGGTGGGTGTATTTGAAATTTTATCTTGTATTGAAACTGCTGTGACGTCATGGATACTCACAGCGACCACAGACACAGAGCTTTCGTATAACAATATATTTATTAACAAGAAAACAAAACAAATATATACACTTAATAATCTACTTAAACCCTAGCTCTGATAGACCTACTAGCCCTGATCGCGGGAAGCGATCCAAACCCGATTGAAGATGATTTGATTGTGGCATTCGCCCTCCTACTTTAGAAGCGCGCACAAAGCCTAGCTTCCGTGACCGAGTGTCACGCTGGGACACAAAGTCCGTTCTGGCGCACCAACGGCGGGTTTGCCTCGATCGCAGGAGCGATCTTATCCGATTGAGAATCGGCGTGAATCTGGCACTCAACCACTCTTCACCTCGGAGCACGCACACAGCATCGCTCCCCCCGTGACCGCAGTCACCCAAGGACCTAAAGTCCGCAGGTTTCGTCAACTAGTGACTCGAGCCTCGCGAGCCTGGCTCGCATATGCACCGTTCGTGGCGCCAAGGCGTCGTCGCCAAGGCGTCGTCGCCAAGGCGTGGCGTCGTGGCGCCTCGTGCACACGCAACGAGGTTCTCCACTGTCTCCAGAACCACCACTGGCTCTGTAACACTCTGTTATATAGGGAAGGCCCACGTGACCTACTACGTCACGCACCCGGCCTCGCTTGTTATAACAGTGAAAGGCCGTATGACTCCAAAGCCTGTGTCTCCCGTTTCCGGCGTTCTTGCCTTTACGGAAAAACCCTTCTTCCTGTGGCGAGACTAATCCGCAACAAGCGTCCCCAAAATAGATGCCATGAGGCACGCTGGCTAATACGTTACATTAGATTGACTTCAGAATGTGAATATAAATCCTTTATATCGAAAGACACAATTGTTAAATCAGATGTTCCACAAGGTTCACAACTTGGATCCACTATTGTTTACATCAATGACATAAAATTGAAACTTCCCTCATGCTTATTTTAATGTACTCTAATAATCTGAAACTAATATTCTGTTAATAAAATCATTGCAAGAGTGTATTACTTTATAACTGAACTTCAACTCATTACCATAGTGTTATTACTCTCTAATCTTAATCCTCTACCAAGTGTCCCCAAATAGATGCCATGAGGCACGCTGGCTAATACGTTACACTGCATTGCATTCACACTGCCGCCATTTGTGGGTGGAATATTGTATTGTAAAATACGTTACTGTTGCTGCTGGAAGATAGACCAATTTGCAATTCTGGAGAGTGCATTAACTCAAAATTCGTATTTTTTGAGTTATGCCACTATTGCAGCTCTCGGGCGATATGTTGTTACTGAGTCATCGCAATTGGTCCGAACACAAATTACATACTGTTTCTCTCTTTCGTGTTTTTCAAATATGAAAGTAAAAGGGAGATCTCTGAAGCACACAGTCTTGGGCGCTTCCTTGCACTCACGAGTAAAACTCACCAGGTACAATGGGGCTATGCCGTTTTGTGACTTAGGTAAAATACTTCGCAAAAGTTGACAGCGACGTGCGAAGAAGATACATGCGACACACGTTGACAAATGGGTTAAATATGAACTTCGGTTTTTCCGAGTGTGTGTGTTTTTTCTAATCTGATGAAGTCTTCCCAATTATCTCGGACAATCGCGTTTCTTCTCTACCTACGAAGCGAGAGTGCGCATACGTACGGGACGACCAGTGCAGAGCCGCGCGGCTGCCAGTCAGGGCGCAGCAA